AACCAAACCACAGGTCCCCCGAGAACAGCCACTATTTCTGTATTTTTTACCAGAGATGAAACTCTTGGTCGCAGAAAGATTCCAGTGGGACCTGGTGCCGATTTTCTATTTGCCTTCTTGAAACAACAGTGTCTGAATTGACTCTTTTTAGATGATGCCTTGCCTTCTGTTTAATTGTTTTGAAGGGTCCACAGTAACTTCTCAAGGGGAAAAACATTGTAGAAAGTTAGAGCTGGAAGGTCCTAGGAGGTGAACCTTCCTGTGGTTTTCAAACTGTGGTGCATAGCAAGGGGGGAAGGCTAAGTCAGGAGGGCTGTGCACCGCCCCCCGCCTCCATTCCTACCAGTCAGCTCCCCTTCTTTCTGTTTTATATATTAGCTTCTATGGAATACATAATTCTGCTACTAAAAAAATATTAGAAGTTTGAAAACCAGTGACGTGGCCCAACTTCCTTATTTTACAGGTGAAGAAACTGAGGCCCAGAGAGAGGCAAGTAATCAAGGTCCCCAGAGAGTTCATGGCCGGGCTGGGCTGAGCTCCTGGTCTCCTGGGTCTGCCTTTCTGCAGTTTATGATGTAGCAGATGTGCAGTTCTCAGCCCACAAGGCAGGAATCCGTTGGTTCTGGCCTCAGCTGTGCCCCTGAGTTGCTCAGTGACCTCTTGCAAATCATTACCTCTCTGGTCTCACTTTCTCCATCTGAACAAGGGGGACCCTGGAATGCGCTGCCCTCTATAGGATCTGCCACCTGAGATAAGAAACCTTGGCCTTGACCTAAGGAAAACTACTTGTAGGGTGATGATCTGGGTTTGCTGCAGGAACTCCAAAGACATTGACAAAGAGGCAGAGGAAGTTTAACTTCAGGGAAGTAAGTCAGGGTTCAGCCTAATTGTAGAACACAGACGGGAGGCCATCCTCTCTCTCTTCAACCAGAATCAGCTGAATATGGGTAGACACTATCCCTTATGTGGGGATGCAGACAGCAGAGTGGTGCCCATGGCTACTGACTGCCACCACCAAAGCCCTGAGGTCGCAGAGCCTGCCTCCTCCAGGATGATGTAGGCAGATTTCAGCCCAAAGTAATAGAAGAGGTCCCCAGGAGGTAGGGAGACCCAGCCTGGAAGTGTGCCGGCAGAGCCCCATGGCTGCCCAGCCATGAGGGTTTCTGGAGAAGGATGACTGTACTAGGCAAGGAAGCGGGACCAGATGGCCCTGACTTCCCTTCCAGCCTGAGAGTTTTTCTGTGTCCCTTCTTTGCGAATCTGTATTCTGAGCCCTTTCTCTAAGGTTCTCTCCTTCTCAGTGGTCAGTACAACAACCCAGCTAGAGACGGGGAATGTTGGAAGTTAAATGTGCCCCTCTTTACCAAGGCTATGCAGACGATGAGTTTGTCCATTGCACAGGGTGATCCTGGAGCTAAGATGGGAACTGCAGGAGGCCACCTAGCCTGGTAGGTTTCAACCCAGGCTGTACCTTAGAATCCCCTTGGGAGCCTTCATGAAATACAGATACCCAGGCCCAACCTCAGACCAACTGGAGCCGAATCTCCAGAGTAGGGCCTGACCTTGTGTATGTTTTTATAAGTTCCCAGGTAATTCTGCAATACAGAGAGGACAGAGACCCGCTGGGCTAGTCCCTCTGTACCTATTTGCAGTAAAGGTGAGGACAGTGAGTGCAGACAGGATCTGGGACTTCAACCCTGTCTTCTAAGTCCATGCTAGAAGCTCCTAAAAAAAAGTCAAGAAGCATTGTCCTGGGTGTCTCTGGGACCCTGACTGCAGCACAGTGAGGGCTCTGTGCTCCCGACTGCCCCCCCCCCGAGCCATGGCTGCGTCCCCTTGTTTGCCCACACACACCAGGTGCCCATGTTCCTTGTCGGGTTTACTCAGTCACTGGGGCCTGCCAAGCTTGCCAAAGGCCAAATCCCAGGCATTGTCAGGGGAGCAGAGCTCCACTGGATGGGGTTACCTTTCCCACCTCATTTGCGGCCAGCATGTCACAGTTTACAAAGCACTCCCACCCTCAATCACTGACACATTCTACTCTAATACGGGTCAGCTAGGTGTTATTATCCCCAAGTTCAGAAGAGAAGACCTAACCTCAGAGAATGAAGAATCATCAAGCCCAAAAGGCACTGGCTGCAAGGCATGGAGGTGGGGCCAGTCTGGAGAGCTTCCCACATGCCTCCTCGACACAGACATCCCTTCCTTCTCAAGCTCTCCCCACCCCTGAGGGACCCAGACCTCGTGCTTAAAAACAATACGAAGGCATCCATGAACAAACTTCTTTTTCCTTTTTTTTTTTTTTTTACATCTATAATAAATTATTTAAATTATTTCACAGCAAGGGAGAGGGATAGGTAATTTTTATCAGATATTTTTTTAAGACATTTTTTAAAATTACATTTTTGTTCTTGACTGATGAAGTGGAACTCGCCCAGCATTTGCAGGGCCCTCAAGCTCAGGGCAAGCGGAATGTGTACTCATCTCCTTACTCCATACCCTAGGAACCCCCTGACTGTTGACTCAGGAACTTTCTCAGAATGAAGACAGCACTGGGAGATGAGCTTTGGGGTGTATCCACCTTAGCTCTACAGTCATTGAGATTTTATCATAGAGGGAAGCAGGAAGTCAGAAATCAATCTATGCTTTTAATATGAAACCGTGCCTGAAACAGTTTGATTGTTTTAATATTGTTTCTGAAATTCCTTGTACCTTTGTAAAAAAAAAAAAAAAAAAGTGAAAATAAATAGATGTGGAATAGTGCAATGGAAAGAATGTAACAAAATAATAAACATCTTCCTAGACATTTTAATGCATGGAGCTTTCCTTGATTTGTTTCACAAATACCAATGACAGTTTCCCTCGATATATGAAAGTAGAGGGTTCTTATGAAACCTTTTGTAAGCCAAAATGGCTAAAGTGAAGAATCAGTTACCTTAACACAACTTGCTAACGGACACACAAAATAAGTCCAGATAAAGCACACATGCTCACAGGCACGGTTCAAAGCTAAGACTGTTGAATGTTGGGATACTGAGTGTAGTTCCTGGGGAAGGAGCTTGGTGGCGCCACTCCCACTGCTTGGGGTGCTAGGGGGTGCACCAGTGCCTCTATAATAGCTTGCTGTAAAACAAACGCTGAACATATTTTTACTTTTTGTCTTTTCTCATAAAAGCGAAAATCCTCTTCAGATTTCTTTCCGTTAGTGAAAGCAAGTACTAATGTATGTCTTTTGTGAAAGCAAGGTGGCATAAAATGAACTTTTGGAAATACCCACTTGTTTGGGCCAGAATCCAAGCTGGGAAACAGGCAAGAAAGACTTGGTTCCTACCCTGCAAAGAGTTTTTAGTCATGGTTGGAAGGAAGGGGACATTCAGGCTGCTCTTGGAGGAGAAGCAAGGAAGGCTTCTTGGAGGAAATGATACTTAGGCAGAAACCTGAAGGATAAATAGGAGTAAACAAGGCAAAGAGCATCTGGGGAAAAGAGTGTTCCAAGCAGAGAAAACCAGCTGTTCCATAGTCTGGAAACAAGCAAAGGGTGGAGCATAGACAGGGCAGAGATCATGAGTATTAAGGGCCAAGGGCAGACTTCCCTAGTTGTCCAGGGGTTAAAACTCCATGCTTCTACTGCAGGGAGCGTGGGTTCAATCCCTGCTAGGGGAAGTTCCATGTGCAAGCGGTGGGCCAAAAAAAAAAAAAAAAGAAAAGAAAGGAAAGAGCCAACGGCTTTGTAGGTGGGAGCTGAGGCTTTTTTCCCTAGCTTTATTGAGGTATGATTGACAAAAATTGTATATATTTATGTTGTTTGTGATTTCTTGAGGTGTATGTGGTAATGATTACGATATGAATACATTGTGAAATGATCACCACAATCAAGTTGATTAACACATCCATTACCTCACGTCGTTACCATTTTTTGTGTATGGTTGAGAACATTCGAGATCCAATCTCAACAAATCTCAAGTGTACAATACAGTATTATTAACTATAGTCACCATGCTGTACATTAGATCCCCAGAACTTATGCGTTCTGTAACTTAAAGTTTGTACCCTTTTCCCCCACCCTACCCTTTTCTGTGAGCCCCTGGCAATCACCTTTCTACTCTATCAGTTTGACTTTTTTTTTTTTTTTTTTTATTCTCCATATTTAGGTATCATACAGTATTTGTCCTTCTCCGTCTGGCTTATTTCACTTAGCATAATGTCTTCCTGGCTCATTCATTTAGAAAATGGCAGGATTTCCTCTTTTAAGTCTGAATAACATTTCACTATATATACGTGCATATACCACATCTTCTTTATCCATTCATCCACTGATGGACACTTGGGTTGTTTCCATATTTTGGCTATTGTAAATAATGCTGCAATGAACATGGGAGTGCAGATAGCTCTGATATACTGACTTCATATTCTTTGGATATACACCCAGAAGTAAGATTGCTGGATCATATGGTAGCTCTATTTTTAATTTTTTGAGGAACCTCCATACTGTTTTCCATAATGCCTGTACCACCGTGGATGCTGAGACTTTAGCGTGGGGGCAGGTGGAGTTTCCAGAATGTTTCTCAAAATTGCGGGAATCGTTATTTTTCTTGGGGATAGGGCAAGAGAGAATTAAGGGAAAATGAAAAGTCTAGGTAATGCATAGCATCCCGGAAGGCCACAGCCAACTTTGGTCCCATCCACGGGGCTGCAGTTTTCTGATCATGACTGGACGAGCGTCACTCAGCGGGGAAGCCCACCTCCTTGCAGTTAGTTAGCCCATTCGAAGTGAGCCCCCATTTGAGCTGTGGCCGCCTCTGGGCTAGACACAGAGCCGGGAGACCGGGCCTGAGCATTCACTGCCCCGGCGGATGGGCGGGAGAGCACCGTGCTGTCCGCAGGGTGATGATGCTGCGGCTGTGCCCTGGCCTGCAGGCGGCGCCCTGCCATATATCTGTCTTTCCCTGCCGGAACTGGGACGGCCCGGTGCGCCCCGCCCCACCGCGCAGGTTTACTATTTCCCCGCCGGCCCCTCTCTGCGCGGCGGCCGCAAAACTTGCGGGTGAATGGCGGGCGCGGCGGCGCCAAGTGGGACTCCTGGGGGGCTGCGCCCAGCGGAGCCCGAAGACGCGCGCGGCTGGCGCTGCCCGGAGCACGGCGACCGCGTGGCTGAGCTCCTCTGTCGCCGCTGCCGCCGCTGCGTGTGCGCGCTTTGCCTGGTGCTGGGCTCGCACCGCGGCCACCCGGTTGGTCTGGCGCTGGAGGAGGCGGCGCGCGTGCAGGTGGGGACGCGGGGGCGTGAGCCCGGGAGCAGCGGGCGGGGAGGTGCGTACTGGGTCCCACTGACAGTTCCCGGTTGGGACCAGGACCCGCAAGGCGGCCCAGAGACCATCTTGGAGGCCGACCTGTTGTTCAGAAAAAGAAACAAGCCCAAGGAAAGGCAAGGCCATCATTTAAGCATAAGAAGAGGTGGGTTTGGGAGTGAGAACTTGGGCGCCCCGGCCGGCACCGGATATCCCGGACCTCACCCACCAAGGCGGGTCTACCACACTGCCTTTGGGCCGGAAGAAATTCTGCCTTTTAACAAAGATGAAAAAAACCTCTCCCGCTTCGAAAACATCTGTGTTTCCGGAAAGCCACACAAACACCTCCTCTGGTTTTCCCTCCTGGAATTCAGAGAGGGGCTGAGGACCGCCTGATCGCCCTGGGAGCGGACAACCCTCATAACAGCCTGGTGAGAGCTAGGCCAGACGGTTCGTGGCCAAGAAGAGGAGGGTTCTGGAGGCCGAGGCGGGCCTTGAACCCAGGACTGCCTCCCACGGGCCCATTCTCACCTTGGAGCTCTCACCCATGCTTATTCTTAATAGTGGAAGGGGGCTCTGGACTCTTGTTCCAACCTTGTGGCCAACTTGTCCAGTGACTCTAGTCAGACCCCTCCAACCTCTCTGGGCTAGGCAGGCCTTCCCGTCACAGACAGGACAGTGTTGATTCTACCACTTCACCTTCAAGAAGTCGTCTGTGGTTAATCCAGCCCCACAATGACCTATTCCCTGCACAGCATGACTTAACACCATCATGGTGACAACCTTGGAGCTCCACTGTGAGAATGGGCCACGTGGGGGCCAATCTAGCAGGTAGAGTCCAGGATTCAAGGCTTGCCTCCGCCTCCAAGATCTTTTTCTTATCTATAAAATGGTTATAATAATAATTTAGTTCCTCAAAATGCTGTTTTCAGAGTTAACAAGGCTGCTTTCAGAGATACAGCTTCTAATAGGCAGGTCCACCCACCTACCCCTTTTGCATCCACACACCCACCCACTCACCTGTCTGTTCATGCATCATCCATCTGCCCATTCATTCATTCATTAGACATCCATTCAACTCATACCTGGTGCCATGAGTCAGGGAATAGACCAATTCTTCCCTGACCTGGAGGAGTTCCTTGGCTAGTGGGGGAAGAACAAACAGTGACAACACAGTATGATAAGTATTGTAATTGGGGAGTCTGAGGCAGTGGTCAGTGGGAGCCAAAGAGAGGACAATGTGAACTAGGGACAGGAAGCCCAGCAAGACTTCCTGGAGGAGGAGCCATTGGAACTGGCCGTGAAGAATAAGTGGGGTTCCACCAGGTACTAGATGGGAGAAGCACCCTGTGACTGGAGGTTTCAAGCACCAGGAAGCTGGGTTATCCTTGGCTGATAGCCAGGAGCTGGACTTGAAGGCTTAGAAATCACAGTGGGGTATGAATGCGCTCCTGGAAGTTGAGACTATGGCTTATACTTGGGTTTCTATTGTGTTCCCAGCCCCACCACTCACTCCCAGACCGCCAGCTAGAATAAAACTGCACACCATAGCAAATGCTTGTTGGATATTCAAATAACAATGCAAGCTATGTCTGTTGAGCACTTACTGTGTGCCAAGCACTATACCAAACACTGTGTACTTCTTATTCTTTACAGCAACTCCGTAGGGGTGTCCCCTTTTTTTGTAGCTGAGGAAACCGAGGTTCAGAAAGGTGAGATCACTTGCCCAGGTCATGTGGAAGGAGAGCTGGGACTCAGACCTAGGAGGTCCCATCTGAGTCTGGGGCTTAGGCTCATAACTTGCTCCAGCTCTCCACTTGAATTTGGCAGCCCCTGGTAATTCTGTTCAATTCAGCAAACACTTCCGGGTCACCCCCTGGTCCCTATGGGGGATCAGGAACCAAGAATGGAGCAGACCTGCCCTCAGGAAGCTCCCAGTTGGTCCAGCAGCTGAGTGTAAGGTGAGCCATAAGAAGGTAAGATGGAGGTAAGGCCTTTGGAGAAATGGCAGTTGCAAAAAGCAGAGATAAGGAAGGGAGCCATCTTAGGTGGGCGAGGGGACCTCTTACACATGCAGGTCCTCTGAACCCCAGTCCAGGCCAGAGGACCACAGACCAAACCTGGATGCAAGTTCCATGAGAGCAGCTCCGAGAACAGGCGCCAGCACATTATAGGTACTCAGTATTCACTCTAGAAGTGAAGGCTCTTCCCCTGACCCCAAGCTGCTTCCCTAAAGTCCTATTTGAGGGCCTGGAAAAGCAGGTCACAAGCAGGACTGTCCTAGAAAAAAAGGGGGCACCTCGAGGTTTGGAGAATACCTCATGTGGGCCTCTGAGGATCAGAGTGGCCCTACTTCCAGCTCATCTTCCAACTTGCCTCATGACTTTGGGCAAGTCAGCTCACCTTTTGAGTCTCAGCTCAGCTGAAAAAAAATACAGGAGTGAGAGGACATGACCCCTGGGGTGACTTGTTATCTCAAAAGTGACAACACTAAGACTTCTCTCCTAATACTTTCACATACAGAAACTCACCCAAGAATGTTTAAAGAATTTGACAGCCAAGAAGCAGCAGCAAGTTGGCAACATAACCCAGACAAGATGCTGCTGAGAAGCTCAAGGCAAGTGGGGGATTCTTCCTTATTCCAGATGAGATGTCCACCTTTGCCCTTGGACACACAGTTCTCCCCAATATAGAGCCAAGGGAAAATGACAAACAGCCTCAAAGGGGCAGGTCAGGTTTGGTGAGACCTGGGGCTTCTGTAATTTAGGGGGCCCTTTTGGAGAAAAAGAACACAAAATTAGTTGCAAGATCATGAAGGGGCCATGCCAGGGAGGGACCTGGGGCTCCTGTTTCATTAGCTTTGTGGTGAATCTGCCTCTGCCCAGAGCCCTAGCCTTGTCCCATAATGCCTGACAAAATGCAGGAACGGCCTTTCCTCCCGCCATGGCCAAAGCCATTCTCTTGGACAGACTAGTCCTCCAAACCCAGCACCCCAGACTGCCTTAAGCAAAGCAAAACACAAGGTAAGGAACACACAAATCGCTCTTTAGGTTTCACTGTTGAAAAAAAGTAAATAGGTATAAATGTATTCCATAAGTATGTACTTTCTTCAGGCTTCTCCTTGCATCACACTTTATTTAAGTGGATTCTTTTGTGGGTTTTAAGTGGGAAGTTGGGGCTGACATTATCCCAGCTGCTGTTTTGACTGTGAGAATGGTGTTGCTCTTTAGGAGCGTTTTAGGTGAACTTGGCCAATCCCTTCCCTTCTCACCCTCAGCTGCCACCGCCTCAAAGTGAGGGCTGGAGTGGGTTGCCCTCCCAGGGTCTGTCTCACTGAGGGCCCTGTGAACCCCAGACTGGCCACCCCAAGTCAGGCAGGGAGATTGGCTCTGACGACCACAGGAGTAGCTGGCACCCAGACCAGGCCACAGAGTTGGCCCCCTGTTTGCCCAACATCCATTATCTTTCGGGTGACAGCATGCCCCAGTTTACTGGGGACAGTTGTGGTTTACACCTGTGGCCCTGGGTTAATTATTAATCATGTCATGTCTTCAAGAGCAAGACTCTGGGCATAGGCAACTACATCAGTTCAAAAGGATTTGGGAACTGAAAGTTGGCACACCTGAAGGGATGGCGGAGGTGCTTTGGGCTGTTCAGCCAGAAGAACAGAGTCAGGGCACAGTCTCACTGTAAATCTCTAAGCAGATATGGTTTGGGGGTCCCCGAGGAAAGAGTTAGGATCCGTGTGGAAAGTCTAAGGGGGCAGGTTTCAGCTTCATCTAAGGAATGGTTTTCTTTTTTGGAACCTTTTCCCCAACTTTTAAACTTTATTTTGGGGCTTCCCTGGTGGCGCAGTGGTTGAGAGTCCACCTGCCAATGCAGGGAACACGGGTTCGTGCCCCGGTCCGGGAAGATCCCACATGCCGCGGAGCGGCAGGGCCCGTGCGCCATGGCCGCTGAGCCTGCGCATCCGGAGCCTGTGCTCCGCAACAGAAGAGGCCATAACAGTGAGAGGCCCGCGTACCGCAAAAGAAAAAAAACAAAAAACTTTTTTTGAAGTAATTACAAATTTATAGGAAGTTGCAAAAGTAGTGCATGACCCTGGATGGATGACAAGATTCCTTGCCCTTCCCCCAGGCCCGTGGGTGGGCTTTTACTGGTACCTAGTTCATGGATGGAGCGGCTTTCTGTGAATCTGGTTTGATGCGGGTCAGGTGGCCCCCTTCCCGCTCCCAGGACGCCAGGTGCCCAGGGCGCCCTCCTAGATGCCCCGACCCCAGCATGGTGTGGCTCTCATACACCCCTCTACCTCCACCCCACCGGGGTCCCTCACTCAGCTCCTGCCCATGGTTCTGATGCCAAGTTCCCTCTTTGTTTTTGGCACCTGAGGATTTCCCTTTTGTTGTTGTTGTTTGTTTGATTGTGGGTTGGTTTTTGGGGTCTTGTGGGGTTTTTTTCAGCTTGATCGCGTAATTTTAAAATTTACTCATCTTATCAGCATTTCCGTGTGTTTGAAGTAGGAAGGGGGATTTCCATGTCAGCTCCTTCTCCCTTTTTGACCAAAACTATATGTCATCTTACATATGGGGGGTTTTGTGGTTGTTCGTTTAAGACCCTAACCCTTCCCTGTGTCATTAAAAGTTCTTTGTCAGTGTCAGTATTAGAGGCTGTATATTCCATTATAGGGATCAACCATGATTCATGAAGCCATTTTCCTAATGTTGAACATTTAGATCACATCCAGGCTTTCACTCAGGTAAAACAACGCTGCAGTGATATTTGGCACCTTGATTTATTTTCTTTGGGACACGTTCCTAGAAGTGAGTCGCCTGGCTCAATAGGCACAGACTTTTGTAGGGAGTCTGGTGCGTTCCGCTGAACTGTGGCAGGCGTAGTTGTGGCACAGAGGTCTGGGGCAACCATGCCTCTCTGTCCTTGCTTATTCAAGAGGCAGTACTAGGGAAAAGGCCATTTGCCTGAAAATTACTCCATAAAACAGCTTGGTAAACAAATTAAAACCAGTAAAGTTCATAATTGACCAACGTCCAACTGTTCAGAAGCCAACAACCAGAACCCATCCACGCCTTTCCAGAGAGCAATCAAGAAGGACTTGATCATGAATCCCCAGCCAATACCCATTAAATGATTTTTCTCTGACATCCTTGTTAATAGGCTGTTTGCTTCCCCATCATGGCTTTTCAGCGCGCTCATACATGCCAGGTGTAGGGAAAATCAACACTTGCCTGCTGCCCTAACTTTTTACTCAAACTGGGATGAGTTGACAATATATAGCAGAGTGGTTATAGTTTTCTTTCAAATCTTCCAAATTTTCCACAGTGAGCTTTTGTTACTTTTGTGAACAACAACAAAAGAGTATATAAATACATGATATATATATAGATATATATTAGCTCACTTTGAACCAATGTGGCCCAGACAGTGTACTTCCTTGTTTCATTTCCAGAATTCTCTCTCTCAGTCTTTTTTTTTTTTTTTACCATATTGCATAGTCAGCCTCATCTTGCCTATACTTAAGTTTTCTACGCTGAGATTTATAACAAAATGTAGTATCATTAAGCTTATTTTGTATATTCTTCTTGAAAAAGTGGATCTGTAGAAACTGCTTGGAGCCCAGTTGGTTGGGAGAAGATATTTGCTCTCAGTTTCTGTAGAAAGGTCCTCCGTGTACATATGTTGCCTCCAAAATGTGTGGATATATCAAGCATTTAGAACACATTTTCTTTCCTTCGTTTAGTCATTCAACAAAGATATATTTCTGTCCAGGCTCACTGACTCATAGAAACCATGTTGTAAGTGTGGACTAATTCCCAAGCTAGCCCAAAGCCAATTTAGTCAATATGAGGCTCTAAACTCAGAGCCTCACCACTGCCTAGAACATTGCATGGGAAACACAGACTTTGGGAGCCCATCCCGTAGATCCTGCCAAACCACACATTCCTGCCCCACTAAGGAGAGAACATGGCACACAGGGGAGCCTGCCCACCCCCATGCCTGCCTGGGTACCAAGGATCTTGCTGCTGTGTGGGCTGTACAGACATTTTGGGCTGAGGAAAGAAGCCGGCCTGATTTTTTTGTTGTTATGATTTTATATTTTAATTGTACTGGTAATACATAAACACATCTCAGTTTTTAAAATTTAAATAGTTAATTAGAATACAGTGTACAGCTATGGAAAGTACAGAGTGAGAGTCCCTCTTGACCATCTCCCCAATCCCACACCTCTTCCCAAACATGACCAAACTAACAGACATTTTATTTTTTTTAATTTTTGATTAATTTATTTATTTTGGCTGCGTTGGGTCTTCTTGCTCCGTGCAGGCTTTCTCTAGTTGCGGTGAGCAGGGGCTGCTCTTCGTTGCGGTGCACGGGCTTCTCATTGCGGTGGCTTCTCTTGTTGCGGAGCACGGGCTCTAGGCGCGTGGGCTTCAGTAGTTGTGGCTCATGGGCTCTAGAGTGCAGGCTCAGTAGTTGTGGCGCACAGGCTTAGTTGCTCCGCGGCATGTGGGATCTTCCCGGACCAGGGCTCGAACCCATGTCCCCTGAACTGAGAGGCGGATTCTTATCCACTGCACCACCAGGGAAGTCCCCAGACATTTTAAATGCACTTGCAAACATGCAGATGCATATATACATGTACACTTTTAATTTTGTTATCTTTTACATAAATGGGATCATCCTATATATATTATTCTGCAACTTGCCCTTTTTCACACGGTGTCTTGAAGAGCTTTCCACGACAGGACATATAGGTCCACTGCATTCTTTGTGTGTGTGTGTGTGTGTGTGTGTGTGTGGCAAAATACACGTAACATAAAAGTTACCATTTTAACCATTTTTAAGCATATAATTCAGTGGCATTAATTACATTCACAGTGTTGTACAACCATCAGCACTGTTTCCAAAAGTTTTTCATTACCCTAAATATAAACTCTGTAATCATTAAGCAATTACTTCCCATTCCCCCCCCCACCAGCTCCTGGTAACCTCTAATCTACTTCCTGTCTCTATGAATTTGCCTACTCTAGATATTTCATATAAGTGGAATCCTTCCCTGTCTGGCTTATTTAATTTAGCATTCTTCCCTGTCCTTCTCTGTCTGGCTTATTTAATTTAGCATCATGTCCTTCAGGATGCTAAATTTGTCCTTCTCTGTCTGGCTTATTTAATTTAGCATCATGTCTTCAAGGTTCATCCATATCATAGCATGTGTCAGAACACTGCATTCGTTTTAATCACTGAATATTATTATTTCATTGTATGAATGCAGCATAATTTGTACAATGAACATACATATGTGCTTCCCATGTTGAATATTTTGTCCAACTTTTCTCTATCTCCAACAATGCTATAGTAAGCTTCTTGGTACACAAATCTTTGTGCACATGTGAAAACATTTTCTAGGATCAATTCCTGCAAGAGGAGCTGCTGCATCAAAGGATTTAAGCGTTTAAAATTTTGATATTATCATATCACCCTCTAAAAATGCAATACTGATGGACACTACCACCTGCAGTGTATGTAAGTGCCTATTCCACACATCCTTATGGACTCTTGGTATTATCCATCAGTTAGCATTCTTCCAGTCTGATGGCCTATATATATATATATATATATATATATATATATATATATACTTTTTTTTTTTTCTGATTATGCTGCTCACTTCCTTGATTGTTTGGGACGCAGAGACACCTGTTCATACATCTCTTGGCATTTGTGTATCTCTGGTCCATTTTTAAATTGAATGATTTCTTTTTTCACTATATGTTATGGATAGTAAGCCTGTGTAGTTTGTTACTTGTCATGTGGCTTTGTTTACAGTGCCTTACCTCTTGGGAAGAGTTTCTTTTTTTATGTAGTCCAACCTGTCATGACTCCCGTTTTGCTATCTGAGTTTTGGGTTCCTCTTATAGAGGTCTTCCCTTCTCAAATTTTTAAAAATAAAATTGTTTTGTATTTTATTCTAGTAGGTTTATTATTTTTTTAATGTATAGTGCTTTGATCTATTTAGAATTGTTTGTTTGTTTAGCTTTTATCGTGGAAAACCTCAAGCATACATATGTGTTTTGAAGCAAATCGCAGACATTCAATTTCATCTGTCAAACTCTGAGCATATTACCTCTATAAGATAAGTACTCATTTTTTAAAATATATAACCATGGTATCATCATCACACCTATGAAAATTAACAATGGTTCCTTAATATTATCAAATATCCAACCAGTAGTCACATTCCCAATTGTCTTATAAGTGTCACATTTTATTTGTTTATTTGAATTAGGAGTGAAAGTTTTCAAAATGCTATTGGTTGATGTATTTTTTAAGTTGATGGTTAACATGCTTCTCTGTCCTCTATGTGTCTTCTAAATTGTTTCTTTAAGTTAGATCTAGAGGCTTAATCAGATTCAGATTCACATTTTTCACAAGAGTACTTCATAGGTGGGGTTCTGTCTGAATTTGTTTTTGTATACAGAATAAGATAAGAATCTAACTTAGTTTTTTTTAATACATGATTAATTGCATGCTGTACCAATACCATTTGTTGAATTATATATATAATTATATTATACTTTTCTAAGCTATTCTTTGCTCTTGATCTTTTTGTCTATGCCTAAGCCACATAGTTTTAAACCCTGTACCTTTACAGTTTGTTTTGATATCTAATAAGGCAGCTCATCCTTCATTGATTTTTTTTTTTTCGGCCATGCCACACAGCTTGCAGGATCCTAGTTCTCCAACCAGGAATCAAACCAGTGCCCTCAGCAGTGAAAGCCTGGCGTCCTAACCACTGGACCGCCAGGGAATTCCCCTTCACTGATCCTTTAAAAGAAATTTTTGGCTTTTCCTGTGCTTATTCTCCCCCATGGTAATTTAACATTTGGTTAATCTGTATGTTAAGACTTTGATTGGGATTACATCCAATTTATAGACTAATTTGGAGACAAATGGCATCTTTATAGTATTCAATCTTCCTAGCCAGGGATATGGTTTTTCTTCCATGCATTCAGATTATTTTATGTCTTTCAGTACAATTTTATGCTTTTCTTTATCTAGTCCCTTACAGTTTTGTTAGGTCTAGTTTTAAATATTTTGCTATTTTTTGCCTACTGTTTTAAGAATGATCTTTATTTCTCCATTCATTTTCCAATTGGTTATAGCTGGTACTTAGGAAAGCTTTTTATAAGTGCTGAACTCACTTTTTAGAAGTTATAATAATTTTTTTCATGTTGATAGTTTTGGATTTCCTGGTTGGCAATCATATCTGCATCTGGTTTTGTATTGTTCAGGTTTTTCTTTAGGCTCGTGCAGAGTCAGGTAAAACCTGGCTGACAAGGAAATTTACTGAACTCAGATTACTACTTGATGAAGAGGAAACTCTGACCAAGAAATTCATTGAGAAAAACACGCAGCTTGCCCCGCAGGCGTACAGGGAGCAAATCGAGTCTTGTGGGGAGCAAATCGATGTCATGAACAATCTCTCCAACAGGGTCTGGAATATCAGCCAGGAACCCAGTCCTGTACAGCTGCTGCAGGTAATGCTGGGTTTCTGCCCTCACAGTGGCCACCGGCCGCCACATTTCATCTTGGTTAATGTGGCACTGAACACAGTATTCACACACTGAGTAAATACACAGAGAACTGCCTTGTCAGCAGGTAGACTGATTACATTGTTAGGAAGATAATATACATCTTGGACTAATTAAATGACATGAACAGTCACCATTTTTGAGGGCCTCTGTGTTCCAAGCACCTCAGGTATCTTAGCTCTAATATTTACTAGAACTCTGCAAATTGGATATTCTTACCCCATTTTACTAATGAGAAATGGAGGCTCAAGGAGATGAAGGGACTCATCCAAGGTTATACAGCTGGTAGGTGGCAGATCTGGGATCAGGTCTGTCTGACTCTAAAGCCACAAGGCATCACTGCCCAGTCCTCTGACGGTACAGTCTTAATGGAACCATCACTCCTGGAAAGGCAGGCACCTTTGCAAAAGCTACTAAGCAGACTTCAAGAGTGGAGTCACAGGGCTTCCCTGGTGGCGCAGTGATTGGGAGTTCGCCTGCCGATGCAGGGGATGCGGGTTCGTGCCCCGGTCCGGGAGGATCCCACATGCCGCGGAGCGGCTGGGCCCCATGAGCCATGGCCGCTGGGCCGGCGCGTCCGGAGCCTGTGCTCCGCGACGGGAGAGGCCACGGCAGTGAGAGGCCCGCATACCACAAAAAAAAAAAAAAAAAAAAAAGAGTGGAGTCACAGTTTGCTCAAAGGGGAGAGAAGGACGAGACTCCTTGGCCAGTGGGCTCTGTTGAAGGCTATTATCCTGAAGGAGAATCTAAAAACTAGCCCCTATAATATTCACTACTACACTTAGCGAAAGCATGTTGTTGAGGATCACATTCCCGTCTTCAGGGAACCATGGGAGAAACTCCTCTCTTGTGTCAGTACTCCTGTGCAGTCACCTGTGCACTTGGATTGCTTTTCTACTCATCTAACCCTTCCTCTTTCTTTCTTTGCCATAGTTTCTGGGAAGCTCAGAGCCAAATATGTTTCAAATAGCTGGCATGAGACTTTGTGGCGTACAGTTTATGCCTCATCTCACTCTGGCTTCCAGCTTACAGTCTTATCCTGGTTTTCTCTTGGCTTCATTTTTCTCACTGTAAAGGAAAATCTTGCAGCATTAGATAACTTTTGTAAGATGCTTTAAAGGTTTGTGGGATGAAGCAAGGTACAACTAAGTAAAGATGGCACTGAGTTGAACCACAGATTAGCCTGGGCTCTGGCTGCAAAATAAGACAGACAAATAAATAAGTCAGTACAAGACTAATCAAGCCAGTCCCTGGAGGCTGTTTCCCCTCCTGTGCCTTTATGTGGCCTTGGTCAATTCAGCCTGTGTCTCATTGTTAAATAACAACCACAACAAAAAAAACCTAACAAAATATTCTGGGTGAGGTGCTCTCCTAGGCACTTTAGACGTTGTACTTTAAGAGAGGCAAGACGCACAGAGGGGCACTTTTTTTTCTTTTAAAATAATAGTACATTTTAGGAATATCTGATTCAAAGGGAGGCTTCCATGGAGAAGAATGCTATTCTTCCATCACAGATAACGGTTTCAGGGCTTTCTCATCTCTCTCTCTTTTTTTTTTTTAATTCTCTGGTGCCCAAGCTACTGATTTTCAACATTCATCGTTCCTTCCATTTGTTCACTCATATTTTCATCAAATATACACTGAGCAACCTGATTGCAACAGGCCCCTGCTTCACATTAGGAGCTCGTGGGTGGGGAGACATGCTCAGAAAGTTATTCACAACACAGCACAGCTAAGTGGGCTAGCAAAAGTGTGTCCAAGAGAAGTCCAACTCTGTATGGGGAATCAGGGAAGGCTTCCAGGAGGAAGTGACAGTGGAGCTGGTATGGGAGAATAAGGAGGAGCTCACTGGGTATATACAGAGGGAAAAAGCAGAGAGGACATCCCAGGCAGAAAGGAAGTATGTGCGTGTGAGAGCTTGGCAGACTGGAGAACTGCCAGGGTTCAGCCTGACTGGAGGCGGGGCAAGGGTACAAGGGAGGGGGACATGTTGGGAGATGTAGGGATGCCAGGGTTACTTGATGAAGGGTCTTATATGCCTGGTTATGAAGTTTAGACTTTGTCTTGTAAAGAGAACGGGGGCCAGGGGAGTGTTTTGCAGCGAGGAATGACACGGTCAGATTAATGCTTTAGAAAGGTCACTTTAGTGACAGGCTGGAGGATGGACTGGACAGGCAGGAATGGAGCCTGGAAGGAAAGTTGGGAGGAGACCACAGTATCCAGGAGAGGGATGATGGTGGGCTGGACCAGTGAAGGGGCAGTGGGGATGGGGAGAAGCAGGCGAGTTTGATAGATGTGACAGGATTGGTGATTGGGGGAATCCAAGATGACAGCTGGTTTCTGGCTTGAGAGATGGGTGGTTATGTGGCTGTTCCCTGAGTCTGCAAAGGCAAGAAGTAGATGTGCTCAGTTTCATTCATTCATTTATTGCATTGTGAACATTTATCGAGAACCTCCTATGTGTCAGGCCCTGTGCTAGATGCTGGAGTTTGGGGTTACCAGGTGGTCGCATTTGTCCCTCATCCCCTTCCCCAGTCCCACCCCACCCATCTGCCCTCTGGGCCACCCCGGAGCCGCTCCCTGCCCTCCCTGCTAGTGATCTGACTCCCTGGCCAGCCCTCTGAGTGTGACCTTAGCCCTCTTTCTCCACAAATTACCTTCTTCCCACCCAAATGAGGATGGGCTCTAGACCTGCAGCTTCCTAGGTAGACAGGGCTTGGAGACCATCCCTCAGCCCTTCCAAGGCCCAGCATCCTTCCTGCCAAGCGCTGGGCCACCTTCCCTCCCTCCTGAGGCATCCACCAGCCCCTCCCACCTTGGGCAGCACCGCCCACCAGCCAGGGCCTGCTGTCCTAAGGCAATCTGCTGTCTTCTAAATCCTTGCCCAGGACAACCCTCCAGAAAGTGCAGACAGGGATCTTAGGTGCAAACGAGAGAATCCACTGTAACTGTTTTAAGCAAGAAAGGAGTTTATGAAAGAGTATTAGGCAGCACATCTGATCCCCAGGAAGGCCAGAAAGTCGTGATGAAGACCAGGCTGCAGGAGTGAAGTCAGGGCCATGGCACAGACTTGCTCCAGTGTAGACCCACCCTTCTCCGCTGGGCAGGATGTCACAGCTCACACCCCTGACCCAGAGCATGCCCCCTGCAACCTCCACCACTGCTGTCCCTGACAGCTACACGCCACTGTCACCAGCCCACCCTCACTTCCACATCCAAGTCTTGGAGTGGAGACTCCTCGTCACATGCCTACACCAGGGGCTGGGACAGTTTTCTTGCTTCTACTTAACAAAGCCACAATTAACACAGGAAGGGTATTTAAAAGGTGCTGTCCAGGCAGAAAACAGGACAGGCCCCCACTGTGGTGGGCACACCCCCTTGGTCAGCATTCCAACTGAGCTTCCAGAGTCTTTGGCTTCCCCTTTGGGATATGGTTTCCTGTTCCCCCCCCCCTTTGGACATGCCCCAGGAGCACCTTCCCCAGGAAAACTGGCCCCTCGCTCTTTTCGTCCCCTGTACCTCAGGGCGACCTCTGTCACAGTGTCTGTAAAGCTTCGGGGTCCCTTTCGAGATGGTGAGCAACTTCAGGGCAGGGGCAGTCAGCTTGCCTCCTTCCTCGAGGCGGGGGTGGGGGGGGGACTGCCAAGGCTGTGGTCCTCGGGGCTCTGCTCCCAAGGACAGGGCCTGGGGTGGCAGCAGGTGCCACGGCCAGGTGGGGCCAGTGCTCGCTGGCTGGGTTTGTTCCTGGGCACAGTGGTGGAGGCTGGGACGCGGCTCCCAGCCACCCTGAGCCCCACGTGCCCTCGCGCGCACGCGGCTGCTGACCAGCAGATGAGCCTGGGGGAGTCGTGCCACCCCGTGCCCCACTCCTTTGAGCCCGTCAAGAGCTTCTTTAAGGGCCTTGTGGAAGCCGCGCAGAGCCCGCTACAGACGCCACTGGACGTCCGCCTTAAGGCGAGTAAGTCACCGTGTGACCAACCTTGGGTCCTTTACTCCCCTAGTGCCCTGTGATTAGAGACAACTGTGAATATCGCCACCCTAAATCACGTGTCTCCTGCACAGAGGCCCTAGGCTGGGTGGTCAAGATCTCCTGGGCCTGGGCCCAACCCTCCCTTCCAACCTCACCTCCTACCCATTTGGAGACCAGGTCCTGCTTCTCGCAGCTGCCCTGCTCTGCTCCTGCCCCTCAGTTGCTCCCGAGGTTCTGCCACACCTCAGCTTTGCCTGCGCTGGGCTCCCAGCTGGAAGGGCCAACTCCCCCTCCTCTTCCTCTGCCTGGTCAGGACCCACAGCTGTGCTCACCTGGGAAGCCTTTCCAAGAAACCCCGGGCTCGTTAGCTCTCCCGGCCGTCTCCCCCCTCTGCCCTGGGTCTGCTCCATCTTCTGCCTGGGGGTGTTTGTCAGCTGGATACATGGACCCCTCCCTTCCTCTCTTAAATGCCTGGAAGGCAAGAACCACTTTGGGTCCAGCTCTGAGGTCACTGCAGGGCCTGACACAAAACAGGTGCTCAGAAATATCCATTCATTCATCTCTGCTATTAGGATTCATTCAGACCATTTACTGAGCCCCTGTTATGTGCTGGGCACAGTGGGGTACAAAACAAAGCTCCTGCCTTTGTGGTGCTCAGTCTTTTAAGGGGAAGATGGACAACAAATGAATATATGTCAGCGATAAGAAGTGCTTTGGGGGACTTCCCTGGTGGCACAGTGGTTAAGAATCCGCCTGCCAATGCAGGGGACACGGGTTCGAGCCCTGGTCCGGGAAGATCCAACATGCAGCGGAGCAACTAAGCCCATGTGCCACAACTACTGAGCCTGCGCTCTAGAGCCCGTGAGCCACAACTACTGAAGCCCGCGCGCCTACAGCCTATGCTCCACAACAAGAGAAGCCACTGCACTGAGAAGCCCATGCACCGCAGCGACACTCGCCGCAACTAGAGAAAAGCCCGTGCGCAGCAATGAAGACCCAACTCAGCCAAATAAATAAGTTTATTAAAAAAAAAAAAAAGTGCTTTGAGAAAAAATAAGCTGGGTAAGGAGAATGGAGGGTGACCAGGAGGAAGAGTTGTTTTTTTTTTTGTTTGTTTTGTTTTTTTGCGGTACACGGGCCTCTCACTGTTGTGGCTTCTCCCATTGCGGAGCACAGGCTCCGGACACGCAGGCTCAGCGGCCATGGCTCACTGGCTCAGCCGCTCCACGGCATGTGGGATCTTCCCAGACTGGGGCACGAACCTGTGTCCCCTGTATCGGCAGGCGGACTCTCAACCACTGCGCCACCAGGGAAGCCCAGAGCGATTTTCTATGGGAAGTGGGAAAGGCCTCTTTGAGAAGGGGATGTGTGAGCTGACCTGAAGGATGGGCTGGAGATCATTGTGGTCACATGCATGGACTCTGGAGCCAGACTGCCCGGGTTCCTATCCCAGGCCCACCACTTCCTAACCCTGCCATCTTGAGCAGGGCACCTAACTTTTCTATGCCTCTGTTTCTATATCCATAAAATGGAGATGATAATATATTCCTGTCTCATAGAGTTGTTGTAAGGATTAAATGAGTTCTTACATGTAAAGCGCTCAGAATGGCGCTCAGGCATAATAAGCACCACGTGAGCGTTAGCTATTATTGTTGCTGCTGCTGATATATCTGGAGGAAATGTCTTCTAGGCAGAGGGAAAAGTAAGTGCAAAGGTCCCGAGGCACAAGGGAAGAGTAAGTTTGGCATGTTGAAGGAACAGCAAAGGGTAGGTGGGGGGAGTCAACAGGAGTAGATGTGGGCGCAGGAAGGGAAGAAGAGAGAAAGAGATACCAAGGAGACTCCACAGATTTTGACCGGAACAACTAGAAGGAAGTTGTCATATTCTGAGATGGAAAAGAGCATTTAGACTTGGAGGGAATGGCCCTTTTGGCTCTCTGAGCAGCACCATGGTGGTTTGCAAGAGCAAATGCCTGATGAAAGGCAGTTAAAAGGGAGCCAAGAAGAAAATGGTTGATCTGTTTTCCTTATAAGGAAGGTTGGTACGATGTGAAAGCACCAGCTACATTCCATATAAGAACTATTGGAAAAACCCTAGTCATGAGAACTCTAGGAACCAAAATTGCTTTTGATGGCCTCAAGGGTTAACTTTTGGAAGTGAGCCTTGCTGACCTGCAGAATGATGAAGCTGCATTTAAGAGAATTAAAGCTAATTCCTGAAGATGTTCAGGGCAAGAACTGCCTAACTTTCGTGGCATGGATCTTATCCATGACAAAATGTGCTCCATGGTCAAAAAATGGCAGACCATGATTGAAGCTCATGTTGATGTCAAGATTACCAGTGGTTATTTACTTCATGTGTTCTGTGTTGGTTTTGCTAAAAAATGCAACCATCAGCATTACCCTGTGTGGTAGACATCTTCATTATCCCCCATTTTATGGATGAGGAAGCTGAGGGTCAGAGAGGTTAACTGACTTGCCCTAGGTCACACAGCTGGTAGGGGTAGAGGCAGAATTCAAACAGACTCCGGTCCCAAGGTTTGTGTTCTGATCCCCTGGAGTCTGCTTCCTCCCAGGCCATCACCCCTCATCCACCACAAGATAAGGCCATCATTCTTACTATCACAGGTAATACTGAGAGGTACTGACTCCCAGGAAGGCCACAGGGAGGTGGGGGTCTTGCAGCACCACTGCCCTTCCAGTGTGCCGCTTCACCTCCCTACCTGTGAGTTCCACAGACATTGCAGGGTCAACAGGCTGAAATGGAATCCGGCATCTTCCATGCCTCAACCCCCAATCCTCTGCTTCTTGACTCCAATCTACTCTTCATTCTCCACTCCCATTAGAGTTAAGCCTTGGTGCTTGTACCACTGCAGTATATCCTGAACCCAGCCCCTTTTCCATCCCTGCTGCCCCAGGTCAGGCCTGAGCCTACCAACAGGGCCTCTGCCTCCACACTCACCCTGCCCCATCCACTCCCCACCAGAGAGAGCTCTGGAGATTCTTCTGCTCATGTCTGCGCTCCTTCAAACACCTTCCATGGCTCCTCACTTTTTACACGACGCTCCTAGCACCTGTCCTTAATGTCTTTGCTCCTGCTGTATCCTGGGGAAAGGCTCCCATCCTTTTTCTGGGTGTCCAAATCTTCCCCATCCTTTAAGGGCCAGCTGAGGTGCTTCCTCCTCCATGAAGCCTTCGCTGACCCCTCCAGGCCCTGGAGCCCTTTCACGTCTCCTCTTCGATCTAGAGCACTCTCTGCCTTGAGTGGTATAGCTCAAGCAAGCCCATTTCTCACCTCATTTACCTGACAGAGCTGTTGGAGACAGGGACCATGACTTGGGTTTCCCCTGAACTCCCTCTTACCTGGATGAGACCTGAATGCGACCTTCCTAAGGGTTCAGCTTTGATTTCTCGTTTTCGATCTTTATCCTAGAATTTGCATGTCTGCCATGAAATTGCCCCCTTCCTTGACTGCTGAATACATGGTTGACTCTCAGGATGGTCCTGGAGCCTGCTATCTCCTCCCCATGTCCAGGCCTCACTCACACTGGCCTGTCATTGCTCAGTTTGCTTCGGATCCTGGAAAGTGCGTTTCTGTATAGATCTGAGCCTTGTCCTGAAGTTTTCTTGTTACTGTGAATTTGCATTTCCTACTTAAATTTGCATGCAATTCTTGGGGAGAGATTATGCAAATCTCCAGTTCTGTAATATTTTTAGTATGTTTTGTAATTTGTGCTGCTTGCATGAACACCAAGCACTCATTTCTCACAATTCATTACAGACATGAGCTGCCAGCTCTCGGGCTCCTCTGGCGCCCAGCCGGGTTCCCTGCTGAAAACAAGCCCCTCACCAGAGCGATCACTCTTCTTAAAATGTAAGACCCCAGGAGCGGGGAGAGGGTGAAGAGGGCGTGGGGTGTACTGGTGGGAGGGAGGGTCACTGAAGTAGAGGCCCCCCTTTTTCCCTAAGAAACCCAACTTCAGTTTTCTTAACCCTTATTATCAGTTTTTTAAAAACCACAGAAATAATACACGTTCACTATAGAAAAATTAGAAAACAAAGAAAAGTTTTTTAAAAGAAAATCACTCATAAATCACTGAAGAGCTTCGGAAATGTTTCTGCTCACATACCCAAGCAGACACGTAGTAGTAGATAACTATTATTTGCCCTTTTAACTTTCTTTGGCATATCTATATACATACTGTGATAAATATTTAATATATATATTTTTTACAAACATGGTGTCATACTCTACATCCTGTTTTGTAATCTGTGTTTTCATCTACTGTTATATTGTGAACATCTTTGTTCCCTTAAAAAATTATACAGGTAATGCGTGCTTCTTGTAGAGAATTAGAAATTACATATACTAAAAGAAAACAATTGCCTGCCCCAGAGTTAAATGATGTTAATTTTTGTCATATATTCTTTCAGACATTTAAAAAATATATATGTCTACAGATTTTTAAAAATGGGATATTATAGATATTCTTTTGTAATTTTCCGGCCCCCAGCAGTGGAAGTACAGTGTCCTAACCACTGGACCGCCAGGGAACTGCCTTCTTTTGTAATTTTAAAAATTTAGGGCTTCCCTGGTGGTGCAGTGGTTGAGAGTCCGCCTGCCGATGAAGGGGACACGGGATCATGCCCCGGTCCGGGAGGATCCCACATGCCGCGGAGTGCCTGGGCCCGTGAGCCAAGGCCGCTGAGCCTGTGTGTCCGGAGCCTGTGCTCCGCAACGGGAGAGGCCACAACAGTGAGAGGCCCACGTACTGCAAAAAAATAAATAAATATATAAATAAATTTAATAGTATAGATTGAACAATTTTCTGTTTTCATAAACACAGATATTATGGTTATTTTTAAAGGATACATGGTATTCCATTGAATATGCCATGTTTAAATCAATTTCATATCATATTATTGGACATTTAGGCTGCTTTACATTTTCATTTCTATAAACAGTGCTGTGGTAAACATCCATTCTTGTACCTCTTTGTTGAATTAATGAATAAGTGACTGAATACACCTTAGCTCATTTTTGTATTATTTTAGGAGTAATTTCTCAAAATGGAATTACTAGGCATGCATTTTTTTAAACTAAACTTTAACAGATATAAAATACATAAAGTGCACAAGTCAAAGGGCTGTAGCTCAATGATTTTTTAAAAGTGAACACATTCAGTAACTTCCTTCAGACCATGAAATGGAAACTTCTAGCTCCCCAGAATCCTTCCTTATGCCAGTTCACTATCCCGAAGGGTAACTACTCTCCTGACTTCTAACAGTAAAGATTACTTTTGCCTGTCTTTGACCTTTATATAATGAGATCACTCAGACTATTCTTTTGTGTCTTGCTTCGACAGAACAACATGACATTTGTGAGATTTACCCATATGATTGTGTGTAGCAGTAGTTTGTTGATTTTCACTGTGGCGTAGTATTCCATTGTATGAATGTAGCACACTTAATATTATTGATGGACATTTTGGATTGTTTAGCTTTTGCCTATATGAATAATGTTGCTTTGAATATCCCTGTACATGTCTTTTGATGCACCTATGTATGCATTTCTGTTGGATATTTACCCAGGAGTGGGAGAAAAGGATGCCCAGTATAAACACTTCTATGCAACATTGTTCTAGATGTCCTAGAGAGTGCCTTGAGGCAAAAAAAAAAAAACAAAAAAGTAAGCTATAAGGATGGGAAAAGGGAAAAAAAAATCATTATTCAAAGGTGACATTATTATTTACAGAAAATCCAAAATAATCTATAAATAAATTAGTTACCAAATGAATTTAGAACAGCTGCTGGATGTAATGTCAGCATACAAAAATCAATTGTATTTCTGTGTATTGGCAATAAACAATTAGAAAATGAAATTTTAAAAACATTATTTTCAGTAACACTTTTAAAAAGCTAGGAATAAATCTAACAAAAGACATACAAAACCTCTCTACAGAAAACTCCAAAATATTACCGAGAAAACTATCCGGCAGTATCTACTAAAGCTAAACATCCACATGCCCTAAGACCTAGACTTTTCTCTAACTTCATGTCTACAGATGTGTATAATGCAGCAAGAACTGTTATTGGGAGTTTAAATCACCACCACCTTTCTGGAGGACAGTTTGGCAATATTTACCAAAGGCCTTAAAATCACAATCATCCCCGTTGACCGAGCAATTCTTCTTCTGGGAATATATCCTAAATAAATAATCAGATACATAAAGATGTATTCATATTAGTGTTTTCAAAACCTTTTTAAAAAGCGTATTTTTTAAGGCGGGGGGAGGGAATAGGTTAAATTATAATTCATCTATGCATCAAAATCTTAAGGTTGCCATTAAAATGCTTTTTTTTTTTTTTTTTTTGCGGTACACGGGCCTCTCACTGTTGTGGCCTCTCCCATCGCGGAGCAAAGGCTCCGGACGCACAGGCTCCTCGGCCATGGCTCACGGGCCCAGCGCACCCCGGCATGTGGGATCTTCCCGGACCGGGGCACGAACCCGTATCCCCTGCATCGGCAGGCGGACTCTCAACCACTGCACCACCAGGGAAGCCCCTTTGCTCATTTTTTAGTTGGGTTATTCTTTTTTTTGTTTTTGTTTTTGATACTGAGTGGTACTAGTTCCTTATATACTCTGGACATTAATCTCTTAACAATTATATGGTTTGCAAATACACTCAGCTCCCTGTATCCATGGGTTCTGCATGCACAGATCCAACAGCCCATCAAAATTTGATCAGAGGTTGGTTGAATCCACAGATGAAATTGATGTGGTAAAACGTTCATAAATACTTCAATAAATTTCAAAAGCAGATTACCCAAGAGCCTGTATAGTATGACACCAACGTTAAGAAAAAAACTATAAAGGGGCAAGTAAAGAAAAAAATTGGGAGCATATACACCCAAGTGTTAACAGTGATAGGATTTTTTTTTATTTTTATATAATTTAAATTTATTTATTTTTTTATTTTTGATGGTGTTGGGTCTTCGTTTCTGTGCAAGGGCTTTCTCTAGTTGCGGCGAGCAGGGGCCACTCTTCATCGCGGTGCGCGGGCCTCTCACTATCGCGGCCTCTCTTGTTGCGGAGCACAGGCTCCAGACGCGCAGGCTCAGTAGTTGTGGCTCACCGGCCTAGTTGCTCCGCGGCATGTGGGATCTTCCCAGACCAGGGCTCGAACCCGTGTGCCCTGCATTGGCAGGCAGACTCTCAACCACTGCGCCACCAGGGAAGATCCGATAGGATTATTTTTTATTAAATTTTTAGAAATTGGCAACAAATTCCATGGTACAAAATTCAAGCCGTACAACGGGTGTGCACTAAAATGTTTTCTCCTGCCCGTGCTCCCCAGCCACCGCCCCACTCGTGATTTCCGTGTTTCCCTGTATTCTACCCTGAGCACTTGGCGGGACAGCGGGTACCAGCAGGGTCGGTTTCCAGGGGGCGGGGCGGGGCAGGGGCACTGGCCCCGCCCATCGTGCCTGGTCCGGTGTCCCCGCCCTCCGCAGACGCGCGTACGCTCACGCTGGAGCCAGACACGCTGCACCCGCGCGTGCGCCTCTCGGCAGACCGCCTGAAGGTGCGTTGTGGCCACCACGGCAACCTGGGGCTCAATCCTGCGCTGCATTTCGACGCGCTGTGGCAGGTGCTGGGCCGCCACTGCTTCGACGCCGGCCGCCACTACTGGGAAGTGGACGTGCAGGAGGCGGGCGTCGGCTGGTGGGTGGGCGCGGCCTACGGCTCCCTGCGGCACCTCTGCCGCCGCCCGCTTGGGCTGCAACCGCCAGTCCTGGTGCCTCGCACTATATGACCTCGAGTACTGGGCCTTCCACGACGGCCAGCGCAGCCGTCTGCGGCCCCGCGACGACCCCGACCGGCTCGGCGTCTTCCTGGAGTACGAGGTCGGCGTCTTCACCTTTTACGACGTGACGGCATGACCCACCTGCACACCTTCCGTGCCGCCTTCCAGGAGCTTCTCTACCCGGCCCTGCGGCCCTGGGAAGGGGCCATCAGCATCTCCCGACTGCCCTAGGGGCCGACACCTGAGTGGCCGCCCTAGGCTCTCCGCGGCTCTGGTCTCACCCGATCCAGACACGGCTGGTCTACTGCCGCCTCTGTAAGCATTCCCATCCTCTCCCCTACCAGTCATGCCCTGTGCTTTGAACAGTTCCTCTCCTAGGTAGGCTAGTTTCAAACGGGCCCTGAACACAGGTCCTCTGCTGCTGCTCTCTCATCCGAACTCCCCACGGCCACCAGGGCCCTTCTACTACACTGCTTTTAGTCCAGGTTCCTGAAAGGACACACCCATGGGTGAGCCCTAAGCATCCTCACCATGTCAGAATACATGATCCTCGGCCTCAGAACATTGTCCCTCATACAGCACTCAGAACCGCCTGGCACATAGTAGGCGCACAGTAAATATGTGAATAAGAGTCGCTAAGACTCTTCTGTCCCTTAATGTCCCTTGGATCTGCTTCCTCCTCTCCACTCTCCTTCAGCTTGTCCATGTCACTTCCTTAAGAGCAGCTGCAAGAGCTTCTTAACACCTGGCCTGAACCCTTTCCCATGCTCATCGTCCACCCTACAGCTAGAGTGATCTGCGTGAAACCACTTAACCTCTTAGAACTATCGGTTCCCAAGGAGACTATGTGGGGGGGGGGGAGCACTTTACCTTAGCAGTCAAGGCTTTTCTAGTCTGCCCCAAACTACACATCCTCATCTAGCTCCTACTGCTCTTTTCAGAGACTCTCCAATCAGAACTGTGTGTCGCATAGTTCCACCTCTATATCCTTGCCCTTGCCATTTCCCATATAAACACATTTATACAGGAAAGCCCCTTCTTCTTTTTGCCTGTTTTCCCCAGGCTTAACTGCCCCCAGGAAGTCTCCCCAAGCTACAAGAATCTCTCTGATTCAGATCCACAGTCTGGGACCTGTCTTTCCAATTAGATTGGAAGATTCCTAAGGGCAGCCATGTCCTACACCTTACCCACCCTGAAAAGTTAAGAAAGTCCCTTCCCTCCAAGGCAGCGAGTGAATGACCACTAGCTGGCTGCTATTGAATCAGAACAGCTGAGCTGGGAGGGTCTCACAGATCACTCAGCCTGACCCCATTGTACATTTGGGGAGAATAAGGTCCTGAAAGAAAGTTGCCTAAAGTCACCCACGGTGATTAAGGGCTCGGCCACCTCCCAGCCCTCAGGCATGTGTCTCACTTGCCCCCTGGCCCAACCCTTCAGGCCCAGCTTTCAACCTGGAAGATTTTACTGCTTATTCATTTCTTAGGGAATGTTGGGAAGAAATCAGCAGGTGACTGTTGCTAAGCAACCACAGGCAGTTTTCCCAACTGTCTTGGAATCAAAAGGAGAGGAACTAACTATGAGTGGGGTTTGGGCAGCTCAGGCATCCCTATGCTCCTCAGATCCAAAATGTTGCCAAGGAAACCCAGAGAGCCCCTGCTTTCCAGAAGGTAATGATGGAAATAGAGAAGGCCAAATCAGCAGGGCTTCCCAGGGAGATCATCCCCTCTAGTAGGGAGGGAGAGGCCTCTTTCCAGGGTCTGTGCCTCAGTTCTGAAGGTTCAGCATCCTGTCGGTCAAATGCCTTATATGGTTTTGAAGTGGTACTATGTAAAAGTATCTTCTTAGGTGCTTGGCAGGAAGGCAGTGGTAGGGTGAGGAAAACGCAAAGCAATCTCCCTCAGGGTTTAAACAGACTCTCAGTGCGTTAATTGGTTTGAACCATATAAAACTGCCAATTTCCAATAGTTTTTTTTTTAACCTAAAAACGGCACTTTCATATGGGGCAATGTAATGTAAGTAGAATACAAGGCAGAAGGAACCTCAAAAGTGGCTTTAGTCCTAACCAAATCATTTAAAACTCTAGCTTGGATAGATGTCTTCAGCACTATGCTCCAGGAATGCTGAGAAGAGGGGAATTAATTCTACTGGGGATGGCCCAGAGCTGAATTCTGACAGGCAGAGGGCATTCCTGACAGAGGAAGATGCATGTACTTGACCCCATATCTCTGTTCATCCCTGCAAACCAATATTTATTCCCAGACCCACGGCCGCAGGGTCCAAGTAAAAATACTTGCTATTTTGTCAGGCACTGTTCTAATGCTTTACAGCTATTAACTCATTTGATCCTACATCACCCCTAGGAGGTAGAAAGTTATCCCAATTGTACACATGGCAAAATTGAGACACAGAATGAGTAACTTGCCCAAGGTCACACAGCTGATGGTGGAACTGGGGTCTGTACTCATCCACCACGTTCAGGTGAATGCAGCTGGTCTCTAGCCAGTGCCTACTCGCTCTGGCCCCTCTCTTTTTTCTTTTTTAACATCTTTATTGGAGTATAATTGCTTACAATGGTGTGTTAGTTTCTGCTTTATAACAAAGTGAATCAGTTATACATACACATATGTTCCCAATCTCTTCCCTCTTGCGTCTCCCTCCCACCCTTCCTATCCCACCCCTCCAGGTGGTCACAAATCACCGAGCTGATCTCCCTGTGCTATGCGGCTGCTTCCCACTAGCTATCTATTTTACGTTTGGTAGTGTATATATGTCCATGCCTCTCTCTAACTTTGTCACAGCTTACCCTTCCCCCTCCCCATATCCTCAAGTCCATTCTCTAGTAGGTCTGTGTCTTTATTCCCGTCTTACCCCTAGGTTCTTCATGACCTTTTTTTTTCCTTAGATTCCATATATATGTGTTAGCATACGGTATTTGTTTTTCTCTTTCTGACTTACTTCACTCTGTATGACAGACTCTAGGTTCATCCACCTCACTAAAAATAACTCAATTTCATTTCTTTTTATGGCTGAGTAATATTCCATTGTATATATGTGCCACATCTTCTTTATCCATTCATCTGTTGATGGACACTTAGGTTGCTTCCATGTCCTGGCTATTGTAAATAGAGCTGCAATGAACATTTTGGTACATGACTCTTTTTGAATTATGGTTTTCTCAGGGTATATGCCCAGTAGTGGGATTGCTGGGTCATATGGTAATTCTATTTTTAGTTTTTTAAGGAACCTCCATACTGTTCTCCATAGTGGCTGTATCAATTTACATTCCCACCAACAGTGCAAGAGTGTTCCCTTTTCTCCACACCCTCCTCCAGCATTTATTGTTTCCAGATTTTTTGATGATGGCCATTCTGACTGGTGTGAGATGATATCTCATTGTAGTTTTGATTTGCATTTCTCTAATGATTAATGATGTTGAGCATTCTTTCATGTGCTTGTTGGCAATCTGTATATCTTCTTTGGAGATGGCCCCTCTCTTATTAGGCCTGTGATGCTTTGCTTTTGCTCGGTTACTCTGTGGGACTTAAGTCTACCTTTGGATTACCTTCCATGGGCTCTGAGATGAGGTCTTACACCCAGAGGGAGATTTGAGAGTTTGGGTTTCATGTAGCAGAGTCAGAGCTGGACTATAAAGGATGAAAATTGCAGTTTTGGTCCACAATCAATTGTGACCTCAAGCTAGTCACTGTACTCCTTGGGGCATCATCTGTAAAATGAGGTTAATGACCCTACCTGCAAGTGCTGTGAGGCTCAGATGAGCCCACAGTATATGAACTTGCCTTAAAAACTGTACAGTACTGTACCATGCCAGGACCTATCTGCATCCCCGGTGGAGTTCCTGTTGTGCCTGATACGGTGCTGAGACAGCCGATACTCCTAGCTGCCATCTGGCAGTAGCAGGAGCCTCCGTGAATATTCAGCACAGGACTGAGCTTCCTTGGGGTCCATGTCTGTAACGGTACTGATCACTTATTCTCTTTCAGACTTGAATTTATAGAAATTTCCTTATTGATAAGAGCAAATTGCTTGCAGATGTGGTTTTAATAAAATGAGTACCGTCCCTTTTTTTGGTACACGGGCCTCTCACTGTTGTGGCCTCTCCCGTTGCGGAGCACAGGCTCCGGACGCGCAGGCTCAGCGGCCATGGCTCACGGGCCCAGCCACTCTGCGGCATGTGGGATCCCCCCAGACCGGGGCACGAACCCGTGCCCCCTGCATCGGCAGGGGGACTCTCTACCACTGCGCCACCAGGGAAGCCCGTACCGTCCCTTTTAACCGTGTTCTTCATTGGGAGTTTGTGTTGCTTCAAGTACACGGCACCCAGGCCTGGATGGGGCCTTGCTCATTTCCCACCCCCTCCACAACTTTCTTGCTCTAGTCAGCTGGTCCTTGAGGGAATATCTCTAGTAATGGGGGGAGTTCACTATTTCTGAAGGTAATTCACGTTAGAACTTCTTGCTTATGTGGCAACAAATTCTGCCTCCCAGCGGTTCCTATCCAAGATAATATTATGTAACTTTGGGCAACTTTTGATCAACATTGAAGCCATTTGTGGTCACTTACTAATTTTTAGAGATTTCAGGGACCCTTTCATGTCTACTGAATGATATCTTCTGTTTCTGCAGTTCCTTTTTGCCAGGGAGAAGGGGGACAGTGATGATAGCCTGGTGGAGGAGACGCAGCCTAGCAGAGGGCATACAGAGGTGGCCCAGCGCAGCCAGGGCATGGTGAGCAGGAGTCCATACCACGAGGAGGGGACAGGCTGCCCAAGAAGCCAAGCTGCATACGAGGTGGGACGGTAAGCATAAGAGGGGTGGGGCCCAAGGTTGAGTCCACCATGTCCTGCTCTGAAGCCTTCCATGGCTTCCCATTGCCTGTTGAACACAGTCCAAAGTCAGCAGGCTTTTAAGCCCTTGCTTCCTTCCTGACAACCTTCCAAATCCCTTCCTTCCTCTCCATGTGGCCATTCCCTGCCCAACTTTCACCTGGACATACAGGGTACTTCCCATGCCCAGATTCCACAATTCCTCCCTCAGTCACTTCTCAACATGCACAGTTGAACTAAAGTGCCACCTCCTCCAGGAGAGCTTCCCTGGCCAACGCCTCCTCTCCCATCCCCACTCCCATAGCTCTCATGACTCTTGGAAAACATTTCAGCAATTCACACATGCAGGGCACTATTTGTGGACGTAACTGCACCCAATAGGCTGTGAATTCTCCAACAGGGACCGTCTGCTGCCTCACTGTGGGCCCAGCACTGGATCTCCTTCGTGGCACGTGCTCAGGGACGTACGAATAGGCCAGAGCTGTGCCCAGAGATCCATCCTCCTGCCCTCAGGGCCTGGCACAGCATGAGGTGGCCAGCTGCTCCTGGCTGCAGGCAGCCCCATACTTTACCTACACACGGCATTCACAGGCTATGATTTTCTCTATGTGCCCTGATGGGAAGCGGGTTCTAGACGATGGCCCTTCTTCACAGTTCTCTCCAACACATTACCCAGTCCTCTACCCAAAGGGCAGAGTTAGGCCCGGTGCCCTCAGTGGCTCTTCCAGGTGTGAGCCTCACTGGCTTCTGCCCTCTGGGGGAATCCAGCTGAGGTCTACAGAGCAGCCTGGGCCCTTCTCACATTCCAGTCTGACAGGACCTGGAAGCAACTGACAGGTTCCCTGCTAGAAACCACCTGCTGTACATTCTCAGCCAGAGCCCCAGCTAGGCTCTTCCCTCCTTTCCTTTCAGACCCAGCTCCTCTTCCCAGGCCCTGGAACACATCCGTCTACTACCATACTAAGTCTCTTCTTGTTAGGAGGTCTCAGATACTTAATGTTATCTCTGCTCTTGTAGAAAAAAAAAAAAAAGGCTATGGAATCAGAAATTTTGATTGTCTGCTCTTGACTGTTTATAGGGAGAAGTGAAAGGGAGTAAACAGCAGCCAGAAATGGATGCCGTCACACTCCAGCTCCTAGCACGTCAATCTTATGGATTCTCGTGAGTACAACCCCGGATTCCCACCCCACCCCACCCACACATACAAACGCAAGTCTCCTTCCAGAAACTGTTTTGGGATCCCCAGGAGAGGGAAGCCCTATCCTCACAAGTAAAGAAACTTCAAAGAGCAATTTACGCATTCAAAAACAGACTCCAAGATACACTTTTTTTTTTTTTGAGGTACACGGGCCTCTCACTGTTGTGGCCTCTCCCGTTGCGGAGCACAGGCTCCAGACACGTAGGCTCAGCGGCCATGGCTCACGGGCCCAGCCGCTCCGCGGCATGTGGGATCTTCCCAGACCGGGGCACGAACCTGTGTCCCCTGCGTCGGCGGGTGGACTCTCAACCACTGCGCCACTAGGGAAGCCCCCCAAGATACACTTTGAATCAAGAGGAATTAAAGTAACCAGGTCAAATAAATATGAACAAAGATTAAGAATTTGAAAGTACATTTGTAAATAATCATTAATCTCAGTATTGGTTCAAAAGAACAGAAAGGACTATGATAGGGAATCTCTGTGAAGGGTTCATGCTTCAGTTCAAGGAAGTCCAACAGTGAGGATCTTTTGTTAGCTGGGTTTGTAATTTCAGGACGGATCATGGAAGGGCTGATTTCAGCATCGCCAGCATACTTACAAGTCACCACAAGCTGCAAATACGCCAAGCCCCACACTCCCCAGCTCCCTCACGTGCCCCACTGCACGTGTCACCTTCTGACGTACTGTGGTTTACTTTACTGTGCTCCTGGTTTATGGAGCATCTGTCCCCATCTGAATGGAAGTCCCATAAGGAGGGGATTCACTGCAGTATCCTCAGGCCCCAAAGCAGGGCCTGGCACATAGTAGGCCCTCCATATTTGTTTAAAGAAGGAATAAATGCCATTTCCCTCTCTTTGCTCAGAGCTATGAGTGCTTTGGCATCCTCTGCCTGCAAAACACTTTGGCCAACCCCTTCTCTAATGCCTGGTGATGGCTATACAGCTAACTAGACTCAACCCCAGGGCGGGCAGGGGATAAGGAGAGAGAGCTGGAAGGAAGAGATATTTGGGGTCATTAGGGTTGGTTTTGCAGGCAGGAAGAAGGAAGGCTGAAAGGAGAGGGCCCATACAGCCAGCACTCACTCCTCTGCACCCTCACTGCCATTGGGCAGTGATGAGATGCTTCAGAGCCCACCGCCCCTTCTGGGCCAGCCAACCTGAGGCAGAGGCCGCCCATATTTGCTCTCTGTATCCCTCCAACGGGCTTGACCCAGGGCCTGGCCCCTAAATGTCTGCTCTCTGGGTGGGGAGTGGATGAAAGCCAGATCCCCGGAGACCACCACTCCTGCCCCACCTCACCCAAATGCACCTGACGGCACCGGCATTCAGAGAATGGCACTTTATTTTACGACTTGATTTTTTTGCCATGATTTTCTACCGATTCCTCCATGATGGTGTCGTCTTCTTCCACAGTGATCAGGACCTTCTTGCCCACCAGACTGAAGATATCTTCAGGAGGGTAGCCTTTGGGCTCACCCACCTTCACAGTGAGCATGTCCAGTGTTAGAATGGTGCCTTCCGGAATTTTCACTTTGGCCACCACCGACTTGCCCAGCTGTGGACAAAATTAAGACTCAGTGCCAGCCTCACAGAAATAGTGCACGTTGCTTTATCCCCAAGGTCCCTGATCAGTTTTCTTGCACAAGGTTACCTGGATAGCAGGGACTCTGTTTTCCCCCTTCGGTTCCTAGAACAGTATCTCACACACAGCAGGGACTCGGCCAGTGTGGGGTGGACTCAGAGACTCAGAGGAGGGGCCTTTATAATAAAGGACTCAGGTTATGTAGCCAAAGAGAGCCAGATCCGAATCCCAGGCAGCTGGGTACAAGCTGTGGCTGAGTTTCTCTGTAAAATGGGAAATAACAGTGTCTCTGCCCTGTCAGGTGACTACAAGGATTCGTGATAATAATGTATGTAACCTACCTGGAACATAGACTGCTCTCAGTAAATTAAAATTATGATTGCTTTTGTCATCGTCCAGTTCAGCATCACATTTTAAACATGGGGAAACGGAGGTCCACGGAAGGTGGGTAAGCTGGCCAAGGTTGCGAGGAGCCAAGATGAGAACCTGGGGTTCCTGACTCCTGGCCCACTGCTCGAGGGACACAAACCTTGTGTCCTTCTTGCTCAGTACAATAGCAGTACAGAGGGCGCACAGACGCCGAGTATGGAAGGGAGCCTCTTAGGAAGAGGCAGATAGGCTGGGCAGGTGAGGGGAACAAAGGAGACCTGAAGCTCATGACCAGTGTTTCTAGGTCTTGCCCATAGATGCTTTTCAACAAAGTATCTAGTCCAGTACTCTGCATCTTCCAGGTAAGGGCCAAGGAATCGGTTCTGGAATTTGTGCCAGGACAAAAGGCCTGTTGGCGGATGATCATCAGATTCTGCATCCTCTGGTACCTCGCTGTTGCCCAGGGAGCCAGAAGGCTAGAACCAAATTAAGTGCTCAACTGCTATAACTCTCCTCCCAGTTTCTGGGCCAGTTCTCTCCCCTTTTCTTGTGTAAGGTAGTTTGTTTCTTTTTACTGTTATTTTAATTTCCTGGTGTATATGCATCTTTAATTTGAGGGCAGCAAGTAGGCCCCACTGGGATAAAAGAGCACTCCTCTAGCAGGCCTGGTGTCAGATCTTTGTTCTGGCCCAGACAGCCCGCAGCGTTTGAGGAGTGTCTGTTTCCCTGGCAGCCCCGGGACGCCTGGCTCTAGACTCAGAGGCCGAGCCAGGTATAGGCCATGGCTTCCGGGAAGCCCAGATAGTCAGTGTGCCAGGCAGGGCTCGCGGGCCTCCCCGTCCCCTCTGTCTGAAGGTTAATGCTGCACAGCTCAAACTGCTCCTGAGGGAACGTTTGCGTCACCCCCCCACCAACCGCGTGACAAGCCCCACCCCCATCCATCCATTGCCTCCCATGCTTAGGGACGCCTTGACATAGCACAGGCCCTCCTCCCACTGCCTCATGGGGCCCCTCTGCCTGGATGTCCCTCAAGGATTACCTACTCCACGGGACCCCAGACTTGACCTACCCGCGTGCCTCACGAGGGGCCCCAGATACCACCCCCTTCTACCCGGGGTCTAGAGTGCTGGGGCCAGAGGCTTCAGAGACTTCATGGAAAACTGTAATATGCCAGGGAACCAGAGAAACAGCTGAAGTTCCTTAAATAACCAGTTCCTCCCGCTGCTAATATGAACCCAAAAAAACTCATAGGCTCCGAGCGACATCCCTGCATCATTCCACTGGCCTGGGCTCAGGTAGGGCTGGTACCAACTACCTCTCAGGTAAGCGCACGAGGCCCCTCTCAACAGTGGCGCCCGGCAGGACAGAAGAACCCACCTTCTCGTTGCAGGCCATCTCACAGGGCAGCAGCTGCTTGGTCGGGGAGCCCAGGGCCCTCTCCACGAGGCGCACAGACCGCACTAGCTCGGCCAGCTCCGCAGGCTCCAGCGAGGCCGAGTGGTCACTCCCCTTCCAGGTCTTGTCCAAAGTTATGTGACGCTCCAAGACCTTGGCCCCCAGAGCCACTGCAGCCACAGATATCACTATACCTGTTTCATGCCCAGAATACCCTATGGGAATGTCAGGAAAGAGCTTCTGATATTCCTTTAAAATAGAAAAAGGGAGGGAAAAAAAAGTTAAATAGTGTGGTACTTTCCGCATACATTCTAGAGTCAGGCAGATCTGAGTTTGAGGCCCAGTAAGCTCCAGGAAGCCTCCAAGGCTCTCTGAGTCTCTCCTTCCCAGGGATAGCAGTACCTGGTGGGAGCTGCTATGAACTTGTGGAGGGCACTCAGCACACTGTAAATGCTCAAAAATAATGGCTGCTGTTATCAGGAACACATCTGAAGAATGTTACACACTGCGCAAACCACGAAGAATAATAACAGAACTATAACCAAATGCCTAAACCCATTCAAAAAGCATCTGTCACATTTAATTAGCCTGAGCTGCTGAAAGCAAGTATGCTATATGCACAAATATCACCATCAATAATACATACAGCCCAATCTCAAAACAATCCTTTGGTGGGAATGCTAAATAATTAATTAATTGGTTATCTATAATTCACTGGATGTGACGAAAGACATTCTAAGTGGAGTGAGCCTTGTCAGTGAGGGTGACCAGAAAGCTTAAGTACAGCAGAAAGACCCAGATGGGAATTAAGAGAAGATAAGGATGGCTGAGTGGCAAAGGCCTTGAAAACCAGGCTTAAGGGTGTGTGATGGACAAAGAAGTGCAGGTTGCTAGGTCAGAGGACCCACCCTGCTGTGACAGGGGTGGGCTGGGCCTGGGGGGCAGGCTGGCAATTTAACTCTGATGGTGCCCTCCTCTAAAGAGAGAGGATGTGAGCATACCTCAGGTGGGGATGGAAGGGATGTGGGGACCACACTTCACAAAGGAAGAAAACTGAGGAAAATATTTGGCGTCAGACACACTAAATTGTTAATTACGGTAATCTCTGTGGGATGGGATTACAGAGGATGTTCATTTTGTATGTTATATATTTCAGGGCTGAATTTTTTTTTTAAACCATGTTTAAATTTAAAAAATAACATGATTTAGAGATGAGCTAGAAATGGAGAAAAGACTACAGAACTGGGAGAGAGAAACTTTAGTTAAAAAGAGAGTAGTGTCATTTCAAAAAAGGTTAATTTTTTTTTTTAAGTTAAACATGAAGACTCTTTAGAAAAATGTATAAGGGCTTATATAATCATGGGGGGGAAAAAAACCGCAGAATGTCATATACGGTAATGAAAGAAAAATATAAAAGGAAAACTGGTTACTTGCAGTATCAGGATTGTGTGTGTGTATATTTAGAATTCCACTACTCTTACTATAATGTTTTTTTGTACGATAATTACACACCTATATATTTCCAATTAATTATGTTTCGGGAGCTACCAGGAGGAATTGATAGAGATGGCCCGAGACAATAAGAGACAAAGAATTCTACTCCAGCTTTGCCACCAGGATGCTGTGAGAGCTCAGGCCGGGTAAGGACTGGACCTCGTCATCTGTAAACCGACTGAAGTGGAACAGACAAAATGCTGGGAGAGAGAAAGCTCTCTCAAGGTTGCCACTGTAACAACACTGGCCCTCAGGGATACTCAGAATCAGAGAGCTGGTAAATAACAGAGAGTTGGAAGTAGGAAAAGCCAGAAGATTCAAGAAGGTCTCCTACAACTCAATATGAAGAAAAACGGATTTCTATACACCAGTGTTCATATCTGCATTATTCCCAATAGCCAAAAGGTGGGACCATCCCAAAATGGTTTTATTGTGCTACCATCACCACTATCCATCTCCAGGACTTTTTCATCATCTCAGAGTCAAACTCTATACTCATTAACACTTAACTGCCCATTTCCGCCTCCCCCACTGACAAACAAAATTTTCTTTTTGTTTGTCAATTTGGAGAAAAATGGTGTATTTGTACACCAATGTTCATATCAGCATTATTCACAATAGCCAAAATGTGGAACCATGCCAAATGTCCATCAACGGATGACTGGATAAACAAAATGTGGTACATACATACAATGGAATATTTTTCAGCCTTAAAAAGGAATGAAATGCTAACACATGCTACAACATGGATGAACCCTAAAGACATTATGCTAAGTGAAAGCAGACACACAGAAAGACAAGTACTGTATGGTTCCATTTATTTGAGATACCTAGAGTAGTCAAATTCATAGAGACAAAATAGAATGATTGCTGCCAGGGGCTCGGGGAGGGGAAATGGGCAGTTAGTGTTAATGAGTATAGAGTTTGAGATGATGAAAAAGTCCTGCAGATGGATGGTGGTGATGGTAGCACAACAGTGTGAAAGTACTTAATGCCACTGAACTGGACGCCAAAAAATGGTTAAGATGGTAAATCATATGTATATTTTACAAAAACCCACAACTCACTAAGAAAGCCAGCGATTCACAGAAGACGGACCACTGATGGCCAATACACACAGGTAAAGAAAATGTATATGGACAATTATGAAGACTCCCCCTTAAATTTTATAATGAGAGAAATTAAGGTTGGTTTTAAGAAAACGTAATTTGTAATCTTTAGAATGTATCTGACTCCTTAACTGCATAGTTGATTCTAATTTGATTCTGCAACAGCAAGATCGTCAAAGGATGTTCGAATTACGAAGCATGTCAAGACTGGTTAGAATTTGGGCCGCATTTTCCCCACAGCAAACGGCCCAATCAGACAAGGGCCCTCCCTCGGGCTCACCGAGATGACGCACAGGTTGACGTCCTCGGGCTGGAGCGGGTACGCACTGGTGCACTGGAGGAAGCAGAAGTTGGGGTTGAGGGGCTTCACAATCTGATAGACTTGCTTCATGGTGTCCATGGACTGCATCCCACTGGAGATGACCATTGGGCGGCCTGAGGGACCCAACACCAACACCATCATCACTTTCTTTTTAGGGGTTCTGACTCTCCCTTAAGCACACCCCTGCTGTTGGTTTCATCATTCTACTGAACCCCGCAAACATCTCTCAAGCACTGTGCCAGCCACAGTAGG